TCTTCCCCTCATTGAGTTTTCATTGTTCAAATCTCTTCTGGTGCGAGTCTGGGATCCCTGTCCTGGAAGGGGAGGGAGCCACTAGGTGCTATCACAGACCCGGTTCTCCTCATAAGTTGCCCCTGCAGCAGCTGTGGTTTCTGGTGCCATGCCCTGGGACTTTCCCAGTCTGCCTGTAAATCCTCCTTACCACCTCTTTTGAAGTGTCCTTTCCACACTTTGGCTTCCAAACTTCATATTAGCTAAGACTCTGTTGGCTGTTCACTTTGTTTTTCAGAGGATCAGCTAAGTGCCCCAGTTGGGTGCACAAGCAAGTGGGCTCAGCTCCCACCTATTTTGCCACCATCCTCTCTCTGGATTTATTTTTAAAACTATTAAAATCTGCCCTGACTGGTGTGGTTCAGTGGATTTAGTGCCGGCCTGTGAACCAAAAGGTCGGCTGGTTCAATTCCTGGTCAGGGCATATCTGATTACCAGTGATTTGAACTCTGCATCTGATAGGCTGATGTCTCCTCCTCGCTCTGCTCTGTTTCTGGAGTTTTGATCTATTCTTTCATTTGGGCCACAGTTCTTTGTTTCTGCATACCTGTTACATTGTCAGGGGTAGAGCCTTAGGAGCTCACTAGGGTGGGACAACCCACTCCTCAGCATTGTGGTGCTGTGGGGGGAGGGAGGGATCACAGATGGAACAATGCTGCCTGCTTGGGTCTTGCCCTGCTTTCAACAAACTTGCAGTTTCTCCTGCTGCCAAACCCCCTACAGATTTTTACAGCCAGAGGTTTTGAGTCATTATTTTGCTGGAACCCTGGGTCACACAGTCTGTCTCACTCTTTGGTTGTTCTGCCTGGTTTATCTGCATTTGAATGTGGGACTACCAGCTCCCACCTTGCTGCACGCCCTCTCCACCCTGGCTGCCTGTCTGTGCTCCTCCTACCAGTGTGGATGAATATTCTTTAACTCCTTGGTTGAAAGACTTCCATACAGTTCAATTTTCTAGCAATTCTGGTTGGTTTTGTTCTTTAATTGGTGTTTCCTTCTTTTGGTTGTTCAAGGGAAGCATATCTACCTATACCTCCATCTTGGCCAGAACCTCCTGGTTCTACTTCCTTTTAGCTGTAGAGTTTCTGCTGAGAATCCAATGATAACCTAATGGTCTTTCTTTTATGGGTTACTTTCTTTTCCCTGGTGCCTTGAGAAATTTTCATCATTAATTTTTGACAGTTTAAGTACAATGTGCCTTGAAGATGGCCTATTAAATGTTCTTTTTGCCTCTAATTCAAAGATCAAGCTTTTTAAAATAGGTTTGGGAAGTTCTCTCCAACTATTTTTTAAATAGGATTTCAATGACCTTTTCCCATACGTGTTTTGGTATGTTTATTATTCTTATGTTGCTCTTTCTCTTGGAGTCAGATAGTTCTCATATAGTTGTTTCACTTTTTTCTCTCAATTCTTTCTCTTCTTTCCTGTATGTCACTTCTAGATTTCTACCTTTAATATCACTAATTCTTTCCTACATCTGGTCAGGCTCTATTTCCTATACTCACTAGTACATTCTTCATCTTTTATTGAGTCCTCTATCTCCAGAATTTATATTTGGTTCTTTTTAATTTTTTTTTTACAGTGTAAATCTCTTTGGTAAACTCTCATTTAGTTCTTTGAATTTGTTTCTGAGTTCATTAAACTGCTTATCTGTGTTTTCTTGCATCTCACTGAGTTCTATCAAAACTGCAACTTGAATTCTCTGGCATTAAATCGCATATTTCCATACCTTTATGTTTGTTTTCTGGAGATTTTCCATTTTCTTTCTGAGCTGCCTTTCTACCTTGGTTACTCGTGGTATTTGATGGATTCCTTCCCTGTCTAGGCATCTATGTATGAGTGGCACTTCTCTGATTGATACAAAGAAGTCGTTTTTGGAAAAAATACTTGCTTCTATTTTCCAGTAAGTGGCCCTGAATCATAGGAGTTTTAGCTCTCATATACTCCTCTAACTTTTCAGCTCTCTGTGGGGTGGTGGGAAATGCCCTGTATTCCATGGGGAGGTATGTGCCTTTCTTGTGATTCTATTTCCCTTGTCCCAGAGGACCAACCCTGCAGGGGAACATAGGGGGCCATGAGGATCCAAATGTGTGAAATTCCAATGCTGTCCTTCACAGCCAGAATCCTCAGGTAGTGCAGGCATAATGTGTGGCTGTAGGGTGAGCTGGGGGTATCCAACTGCCTCTTTGTTGATTTGCTGTCCCAGCAATAGTGACCAGTGCACCTCCACAGAATTTCCCCTGCATCTCTACCCAATCCTGGGATTGGTAGAAGTGCATGTCCTTCACTAAGGGAAAAAGTGCTTCTATAATGCCAGTTCATGGGTTTGTAGATATGCTCTGCAAACTGATACAAAGGGTGAGGGAAGGTGAAATCTGAAAAACTGGGAGAAAGCAGCCTGGTTCCATGTTTTTGTCTCTCTGTCTGAAATGCTAACTGTCAGCATCTCTATGCTTTGTCCCTGCTCAGGTAACTGGGTTCAGCTGCTGCTACTGCTGATCATTCCTGCAACTACTGCTCTTTTCTGCATGAATTCTCACTAAATCTCTTTCCTCCTGACTGAAAAAAAATGCAAGCCACAATGAGATTCTTCCCCTTTCTAGGCTGAGCCCCACAGTTAGCTCTGGGCTACAGGGCTTGTCTAATCTCTTCTGCCCTCTCACCTCCCTGTTTGTTCCCACTTCATATGTCCCACTTCATATGTCCACCTTCATATGTTTTGATGTGCAGATCTCTCAGAGATGTTTGTGCATTGAACAGAAAACCCTCTGATGAATTATAGTTGCTAAAAGTATTTAAATTTCAAGGGGAGAGACCAAGGGGATTTCTCATGCTATCACCCTTCTGATGTCACTCTAGTTGGTTGAATGTTTTTGACTAGTTATTCTAATGTTTGGGTTTCCTCTGTGATAGTTTCTGTCAAATTCATATATACATATGAATGGGACATACTTCCCTATTTTTTTGTATACTGTATACTTTTATGTTGATATCTAGATATTTTAAGTAATATAAAGCTGTAATACTGAAAATCAGAATCTTCTCTTCCCAACATATTGCTGAGTTTAACTTGTTAAGGATTGTAGCCACCATCTGTTTAGTGATTTCTGATAACTATTTTTGCAAATTGTGTATTCTTTTTGCACATGTTCACTGCAGTTTTTGTTCCATTATCTCTGCAGTCAGGCAGAGATATTAATTAAAGCTTCATACCATCAAGTAGATATAAAAATTTATAAAAATATGTACTGTTTTATTCAGCTGGGGGTGCCATAATAAAATATCAGAGTGGGTGGTTTCAAGAGAGAAATTACTTTCTTACACTTTTGAAGTTCAAAATTTAGAGATCAGGGTGCCAGTCTGTTTCCAACAAGGGCTATCCTCTTGAGTTGTAGATGGCTGCCTCCTTGCTGTGTGCTCATATGACCTCTTCTTTGTCTAAACATGAAAAAATAAAATGAGCAAGATCTCTGATATCCCTTTTTATAAAAGAGCTAGCCCCATCATGAGTTCTCCACCCTCCTGATGTCAACTAACCCTAATTACCATCTAAAGCCCCATCACCAAATATCGAGTTAGCCAAAAAGTTAATTTGTTTTTCTCTATAAGATGGCTCTAGGAGTATTTAGTTGTCTTTAACTAATTTGAAACAGTTTTGTTAGATTGTATTATGACAGCTGTCATCTCAACATAAAAACTAGTGAATTTATACATAACCATTTTAATATTAAAAATGGAAGGAAAATACACAGTTTTTGCAAATTACACTTTACTATTTGAAGAAAGGTGAAAATGCAACTGAAATGCAAAAAAAGGAAAAGATTTGTGCAGTGTATGCACTGTGACTGATCAAATGTATCAAAGTGGTTTGCAAAGTTTTGTGCTGGAGATTTCTTAATGGACAGTGTTCCACAGTCAGGTAGACCAGTTAAAGCAGATAGTGATCAAATCAAGACATTGAGAACAATCAATGTTATACCAAACAGGAGATAGCTGATATACTCAAAGTATACAAATCAATGAAGTTACTGGTAAAAATGAAAAATTTATCTTGTATTTTATAGAAAAAAAAAAAAAAACCAGACTTTTTGGCCAACCCAGTACTATCACATTAGGGCTTAAGGCTTCAGCATATGAATTTGGGGAGCAAACATTTAGGCCATAACATGACCAAACACAGCCCCTAAATATATGAAGTAAAAAAGACATGACTGAAGGTAGAAATATTATACAGTAGTAGCTGAAGACTTTAATACTCCACTTTTAATAATTAACAAGACAATGAGACAGAATATCACTAAGGATATAGAGGATAACACTATAAACCCACTGGGCCTAACAGACACTCTACCCAATAACAACAGACTACTGATTTTTTTCTCAAATGTACATAGAGTATGCTCCAAGATAGATTATATAATAAATCATACAGTGAGTGTTGATACATTTTAAAGGACTAAAGATATATTGTTTCTTTATGAATCAAAATAAAATGAAATTAGAAATAATAGTAGGAAAACAGGACATTTCACATACATGTGGAAATTAACACACCTTTAAAAGTCAATGCATTACAAAAGATATCAAAAATAAAATGAGAAAGTCCTTGATATGAATAAAAGTAAAAATACAACATACAAAGAATTATAAAGTGCATTGAGCCCAGTGAATAAACCTAGAAATCCACAGAAGTAGAAAGTCCACAAACACGTATATATTAAACATACTCATAAACAATACAAAAAAAGATCAATCATAAGAAAAATTAGAAAATATCTTGTGAAAAATGAAATAAGAACATGACATACCAAAATTTATAGGGTGCATCAAAATAAGTGCAAAGAGGGAAGTTTATCACTGTAAACATTTACATTAAAAAAAGAAGAGAGATGTTATGGGAGCTGGAGCTGCTGGTAAGCAGGACCTGGCCTGGAGCACAGAGGAGACTAATTCTGATCAAGATGACAACCTCTAAAAAGCACCAAGACTTTGTAACAGAGCCCATGGGGGAACAGCCAGTGGAGAACATGGCTGGGACTGGTGAAATCATTGGCAAGAAGCTGGAGAAAAAGAGCTTTGACAAGGTCTGTGTGGTCCTTGGCCAGTTTCTGGTGCTGAAAAAAGATGACCTCTTCTGGAAATGGCTAAAGGACACATGCGACATCAATGCAAAGTAGTCTTGGAACTGGTTTACATGCCTTTGAGAGTGGTGTGATGCCTTCTTTTGACACTCCTTGGGGAGCCCCCAATCCCTAACCCCAGTCTTGAGTCTCCAGAGTTTGCATCTGAGTTGGGGCTCCACCCTTGTCCTCTACAAAGGAAATGATTGCTGTCTACTCACCTCTGGTCCTCTGGGTCCTTTGGAGGAGGTCCTCTGGGTATTTGGGGTAATTCTCTCATCTCACCATTTCAACTTTTTTGGAATTCTTGCTCTTACTTGCATCTTCCTTCTCCTCCTGCCAGTTTCAGGTCAATAATTATCAACTTTTCTAAGTGGATTCCTGGGCCCTTCCCTCATTCCCACTTTCACCTCTGGTTCATTTTATACTATTTGGCTTCTCTTTTACCAAAAAACCTGTCTATATGGTTTTTTTGAATCAATAAAATCAATGGCCTTCAAAAAAAAAACAGAAGACCTCAAATCAATACTTTAACTTTATAGCATATGAAACTAAAAAAAGAACAAAAACCCAAAGCTATCAGTTGATGGAAATAATTAAGAGCATATTTAAACAAAATAGAGAATAAAAAATTAAAAACCAACAAATACAGAAATTGGTTCTTTGAAAATATTTGCAAAATTAATAAACCTTTAGGTACAGTGACAACTTAAAAGAGAGAGACAGAGTTCTGGCCGGGTGGCTCACATGGTTGGAGCATTGTCTTGTGCACCTAAAGGTTGTGGGTTTGATCCTCACTACTCAAGGCATATATCTAGGTTGTGGGTTCGATCCTCTATTAGTGCATATAGAGGAGGCAACCAATAGTTCTCTCCCACATTTATGGGTTTTTTCTCTCTCCCTTCTCCTCTCTCTACAATCAATAAATCACATCTTTGGGTGAATATTTTAAAAAATAAATTAAGAGAGACAGAGAGAACTCAACTTACTGTGAAATTAGCAACCAGTTTACTACCAGTTTACAGAAACAAAAATATTATTAGAGAATACTACAAACAATTTAGGCCAATCAAATTGATAACCTTGAGCCCTGGCTGGTGTAGCTCAGTGGATTGAGCATGGGCCTGTGAACCAAAGGATCACAGTTTGATTCCCAGTCAGGGCACATGCCAGTTCCCAGCAGGGGACACATGAGAGGCAACCATACATTGATATTTCTCTCCCTCTCTCCTTTCCTTCCCCTCTAAAGATAAATAAATAAAATCTTTTTGTTTAAAAAAGCTGAATGCTGATAAACAGCTTTAAAAAAAATTGATAACCTTGATAAATGGACAAACTTCTATACATACACAAACTACAAAAACCAACTCAAGAAGAAACAGAAACTATGAACAGACTAGTAACAACAAAAATTAAATCAGTGATCAATAAGATCCAAAGAAAAGTCCAGAACCAGAGTTTTTCTGGTGCATTGTACCAAACATTAAAAAAAAAATTAACACCATTACTCCTCAAACTCTTTCTGAAAACAAATTGCAAAGAATACTTCCAATCTCAATTAATGATGTCAGCATTAACCTAATATCAAAGCAAAATAAAGACACTACAAAAATACCTAAATCTATAGGTCAATACCCATTATGAATATAAACTCACATTTCTTGAACACAATATTATCAATAATAATATGCTAATAAGTTCAGCAGCTTATTCAAAGGATTATATACCATAACAAGTGGAATTTATCTGCCTTGTGGAGGTTAAATAAAAGTATTATGCTACATTATTAGATGGCAGATCAAAATTATATGGTTATATCAAATGTTGCATAAATATGTTAGAGCTAAAACTATAAATCTCTTAGAACAAAACATAAATCTTTGTAACCTTGGATTAATGGTTTCTTAACATAGCAAAAGCAAAAACAACAAAAAATAAATGCACTTCAAAAATAAAAACTGTAAGCAGACCATTAAGAAAGTAGAAAACCTACAAAATGGGAGAAACTGTTTTCAAGTTTCTGATAAAGGACTTGTCTTCATCTTGTTGTGTTCCTATAACAGAACATCATTGCTGGTGGCTTATAAACAACACAAATTTATTTCTCTCTTCTGGAGAATAAAAAGTCCATCAAGGTACTTGTAGATTTAGTCTTACGAGGGCCTGCTTTCAGATTCACAGATGCACATCTTTTCACTGTGTCCCCACATAGTGAAAAGAGACAAGGGAGCTCTCTGGTGCCTTTTATAACATCATGTCGTTAAAGAAATGGAAATCAAAACCACACCCACTGGGATGTTTATAATCTAAATGATATGTAATAACAAGTACTAGAGAGGATGTAGGGAAATGGAAACCCTTATACACTGGTACTGTGAATGACATGGCCACGTTGGAAAACATCTTGGCAGTTACTCAGAAAGTTAGGCATACCATGACCTATGATATAGCAATTCCACTCATAGACCCAAAGAAATGAAAACATATATCCACACAAAAGTTTAAAAAAAATGTTCATATCAGTGGCCTGTGCTGGCAAGCCACACAAAGCTGGGTTTTTGTAACTGTGTCTTCCAGGCAGGCTTCTGTTCAGGATTCAGATGAGCATGTGCTGGGCTCTGTGACTGTATTACAAAGAAGAGCCAAGAAGAGGAAGAACCCTACCCCTTACAGGGTGCTAGCACCACACCAGAGGCTTTTTGAACCACTCCTGCCAGGTCATGGATACCCCCAATGAGTGCAGTTCTGTGTGGGAAGGAAGAGCAACTCGGAGTAGAAACATTCAATGGGGCAGACTCGAGGCAGACCAAAATTCTGGGATCCAGAGGCCTCACCCACTGCTGTACTAGAAGCTTTTTTCTCACCAGTTTGGGAAGGGTTGGGTAGGGACAGCATCTGACATTGGTTTACAACAAAGAAACTCTCAAGAGGCCTAGAACTGGCACAAGTGGCCAACTTTGGACAACACCAGAACAAAATCCAACAGGTTTCACAAACAGCAACATCCAAAGGGTGATTGCAGAGCACAACAATCTGCTGAGGCTAATGCCATATATTTCTAATCTTATTATTTTCTACTTCATTTTCTTTTCTTCTGTTTCTTATATCTCTTATGCTCTCTTTTCTTACTCTATTTCTCTATTTTTTCTTTTAAAATTCTTTGTTTTTCTTTTCCTAAGCTTTTTTATTGTTTAGGTAGAGTTGTCTCTATTCCCCAATTACCCCTCTACCGCACCCCACCAACCCCCACCTCGCACCCTCAAAACTATCCCCTTTGGTTTGTCCATGGGTTCTTTACACATGTTCCCTGAGGACCCTTCACCTTCTTTCCCCCGTTATCTCCCTCCCCGCACCCCCTCTGGCCACTGTCAGTTTCTTCATTTCAGTGTCTGTGGTTATATTTTGTTCCTTTGTTCTGTTATTATTAAAGTGCAGTTGTCTCCATTTCCCCCCCATCACTACCTTCTGATCCACCCATCACCACAACCCATCCTTGATCCCACCCACTTTGGCTTTGTCCATGTGTACTTTATACATGTTCCTTGACAACCCTTCCCCTTTTATCCCCATCATCCCTCCCCCTTCGCCTCTTCTTACTGTCAGTTTCTTCTTTATTTCAATGTCTTTGGTTGTATTTTGCTTCATTGTTTGTTTTGTTGATTAGGTTACAATTATACCTGAGATCATATGGTATTTATCTTTCACTGCCTGGCTTATTTCACTAAGCATAATTCTGTCCAGATCCAATCATGCTGTTGCAAAAGGTAGTAGAGCTTCTTTCTTCCTGCAGCATTGTATTCCATTGTATAAATGTACCACAGTTTTTTGATCCACCCATTTACTGTGGGGCACTTAGGTTGCTTCCAATATTTGGCTATTGTAAATTGTGCTACTATGAACATTGGGGTGCAGTCTTATGAATTGGTGTTTCAGGATTCCATCAATCCCTTTGGAATTGCTGGATCAAAAGGCAGTTCCATTTTTAGTTTTCTGAAGAAATTCCATACTGTTTTCCACAGTGGCTGCACCAGTCTGCATTCCCAATAAGTGTACCACAGTTCCCTTTCTCTATATGCTCGCCAGCATGTGTTGGCTGCTTTGCTTATGATGGCCATTCTCACCAGTGTGAAGTGGTATCTCATTGTGGTTTTAATTTGCATCTCTCTGATGGCTATCGATGCTGAGCATCTTTTCATATGTCTCTGGACCCTCTGTATGTCCTCCTTGGAGAAGTGTCTGTTGAAGTCTTTTGCCCGTTTTTTAATTGGGTTGTCTTCCTGGAGTGGAATTGTGTGAGTTCTTTATATATTTTGGAGATCAAAACCTTTTCCAAGGTATCACTGGCAAGTATATTTTCCCATACAGTTGGTTCTCCTTTCATGTTAATGCTGTTTTCTTTAGATGTACAGCTTATTTTGATGAGTTCCCATTTGTTTATTCTTTCCTTTATGTCCCTTGCTATAGGTGACACATCAGCAAAAATGTTGCTGTGTGAAATATCTGAGATTTCCCTGCCTATGTTCTCCACTAGAACTTTTATGGTGTTGTGACTTACATTTGTCTTTTATCCATCTGGAATTTATTTTTGTGTATGGTGTAAGACCTCCCAAAGCCATTTGTTGAAAAGGCTACTTTTAATCCACTTATGCTTCTACCCCCTGTCAAATTTTAATTGACCACACAGACATAGGTTTTTTTCTGAATTCTGTTTCATTGATCTGTGTGTTGATCTATGTGTCTGTTCTTATGCCAGTACCAGACAGTTTTTTAAGTTAATTTTTACAGACAGGGGGAAGGAGGGAGAAAGAAAGTAGAGAAACATCAGTGTGTGGTTGCCTTTCACACACCCCCTACTGAGGATCTGGCTTGCACCCAGGTATGTGCCCTGACTGGGAATCAAACCTGTGACCCTTTGGTTCCCAGACCCTCAATCCACTGAGCTACAGCAGCCAGGGCCAGACTGTTTTGATTACAGTGGCCTTTTACTATGGATTGGTATCAGTTATTGTGATGTCTCCTACTTTGTTCTTCTTTCTCAAAATTGCTACAGCTATTCA